GGGGGGGGGAAGGCGCACGCACCACGGAGAAAGTGGCTTTTTGTGCTAAAGCACCCCGTGCTTTAGGGCTCTCCCAGCAAAACTGCCCTTGGGGGCACTGTGCGGGATCTGCGAGGCTCCGCTTCTAAACCTTCACCCTCTTCCCCTGCTCCTGTTTAGCAGAGCACAGCACATCATCACTGGGCTGCAGTCAGTAACTGTCCGTGGGAGTGGAAATCTGAACAGAAAAGGTTTTTCCTTTGTATCTGGCGTTTGACCTAGCGTAGTGATTCTGCCAAGTTGCTATGGAGGCGGGAGGGAGACGCACAGGCTCAGGAATTCCTTGATCATGAAGTTCCTCTGCAGTTACAATACAAAATAAAATGCATTTCAAGTATTATGTAGAATCCACTTATCTCTGCTTCTTCCAGCTTTTAAATGGAGGAATATTAGTAACGCTGGAGCAACTGGGGGAAAATTCTAAGAAAATTCAGTTCCCAGTACCAAGAAGGTTGTCTTCTAATAATACGACTCGTTTCTAGGTACTGTTGTGCACAGATAATGCTGTACCCGGGCTCTGCCTTTTCACCTGGACTGTGGCAGGGGAGTGTATGTTTGTATTGCATGCGGAGTGTACTTTACTTGAACTGTTGCTCTTCTTTCCTTTTCACCATTTTAATTAAACCAGAAACGCAATTGCTGCAGAAGACAAAAGCCATTCTCCACCTCACTCTGGCACATTGTGTTAAAACACATCTGAGTGGATACATTTTTCTGGTGTTCTGCAATTGCTCAAAGCAGAATTGAATAATGCAGTATACAGCCCTACTGTTTTCTCGGCCAAAAAAAAAAAAGTATGATCACAAAACCTCTCTGTTGTTTCTCTCTCCAGTGAATACAGAGGTTTGGTCAAACACACGGGAGGCTGTCACTGCGGAGCCGTCCGCTTTGAGGTCTGGGCTTCAGCAGATCTGCATGTTTTTAACTGCAAGTGAGTTTTTTTTTGTTCCCTATTCTCATAGATGAATAAAAGCTCATCTGCTTTTCCAATCAATACCTTAGAGCTAAAAGAAGATGACACAACTGCAGAAGATCCTCTGGGCTGTTTCTGTAGGGTATACCCCTAATTATGTCCTGATCCAATATGGGATTGGTGCTGGTGATTTCAGGTGCTGCTTCTTTGGGCAGGATTTCAGGTCTCACATCCATGCTCATTCAGAAAGTGTCCGGAGACAACTAATAAGTACAGGTGCTCAGCCATCTGCTTTTTATTTCCTCTAAGTGTAGTGTGCTCCAAGCACATCAATCCTTTTTTAACTTGGCCTTCTCAAGTAAACATTACATCTCTGACGACATGTGTTTCAGACTTCAACAGTGTCTGATTTCAATAGTGATCCCCCTTCACCTGCAACTGGTTTGCTTCCAGCTCATGAGTAAACATCCGAATCTTACTCTCTTGTTTGCAAAGTAACTAGTGTTGGCAAAATCAGCAAAGTCTGGTCTGAAAGATTAAATGGATTTCTCAGGGCTAGTTTGGCCTTGTTATGTCTGTTGAGAGTTACAGATGTGAAGAAAAAATTGCATATAATGTTTGGTGTAGGAGAACACCTTATCGGTGTACCTGTGTAGGGTCAGTCTGTTCCATGGGTGTGATAGCCAAACACTACTGATACCACACACTCACTTTTGCTGCTTACCTCTGTGATGCTAACCAGGAGCCATTTTAGCTGCCAGTGGAATTTCTGTTGTCAAGAGGTCCCTGCTAGATCTGATTGCTGTACTACAACTTGTCTGCTGCTCCTAGGAAGGTCTGCTTTTTCTTTTACAGTTGCAGCATTTGCACAAAGAAACAGAACAGACACTTCATTGTCCCAGCGTCGCGTTTCAAGCTGCTGAAGGTAGAGTAAGAATGCAGTAAGAGCATGGCCATGAACACGAGCAGTATAATCCAGTGTCATCCTCAAAGATGCACGTGGCAGGCAGTTTTCTGTCCTAAGTTTGTCTATGGCTGGTTGGGGGAAGTGGCTGAATTTTATGCCGTTTGGTGTGGGTGTATTGCTGCATCTTATTTAGTGAGGTGACTTTAGAGGTCTTGCAGTTCTCAGGCTTGACTGGGATGGACACATGTATATACAAAGCACAGGGGTTCAGAAAAGGAGCAGGAA